GTCGGGGGGTAGGCGGGAGGGAGGCGGACAGGGGGGGGGGGAGGGTGGCTGTCTGCTGGTGCATCTACTGTAACCCTTCTTCTCCACCAGGTGTGCTGTGTGTGAAGCTCCAGCCATGGTCATCGCGATCCACAGTCAGACCATCCAGATTCCCGCCTGTCCTTCCAGCTGGGACACTCTATGGATCGGCTACTCCTTCATGATGGTAGGACCTCTTTATACTTTGACCACTGAGCCTGCAACTTGTACTGGGTCATAGGTCATTCAACATAGGGCTGCAAAGATAAAATCAATCTTAGCATTATAGGTGGTCTGGCTCGTGAGCAGCCCCTGGAGGTAGCTTCACAAATCACACATCTTCTCTTCTTTTTCAGCACACCAGTGCTGGTGCTGAAGGCTCAGGTCAGGCTTTAGCCTCTCCAGGTTCCTGCCTGGAGGAATTCCGCAGCGCCCCCTTCATCGAGTGCCACGGCAGGGGAACCTGCAACTACTACGGAAACTCCTACTCCTTCTGGCTGGCCACGGTGGAACACTCTGAGATGTTCAGGTACGAGAACCAGGCCTTAAATCTGCAGCAGACCAGGCAATAGGCCATGACTTGGACTGACGCGTTGTCTTTGTTCTCTTATTCTGACAGGAAGCCACAGTCTGAGACTCTGAAGGCAGGGAACCTGGGAACGCGCGTCAGCCGCTGTGTGGTCTGCATGAAGAAGACGTAACAACAAGGACCTTTGACCTAAACAAAGGTGCTACTGTGTGACACAGCCTCAAACGTCAACCCTTAACTTTCACTCTTTGTTTTTTAGTTCATATAAGAAGTACCTCAGAATGAAAGAGCACACTTTTGTCCACCAGGGTGCCCTGATGGATGTTTGGAGACATAAATGCTTTTTTCACTCTCTTTGTCTTTACTTTTTAAACCAAACAGCCACAGGTTTGTTTGTCTCTGTTTGTTTGTTTGTTTGGTTGAGTTTTTCTGGACGGCGGTCACCAAGCGGGCACTTTGACTTCACAAACATCCAGGCTGTGATGCACTGACCATGAGTTTTCTTCAGCCAGACTGACGCAGACTCCTCTCATTCTCCTCAATAGTCCCTTTTTCCCCTGTCCTCACGTGTGCTGGTCTTAAAACCAGGCCTTTGCAGCAGCCTGCTAATGCTAATGCTAACCACTAGCCCCCCACCTTCTCTGTATTTTTTTTTATTTGTAAGTAATAAAATGTGTATATTGTGTAAAACAGCCTGTTTTTAGTGTGTTAGGGATTTTTTTCAGTCAGTATCAGCGGTTTGTGTTTCTTTTTACCCGTACACAAACGCACACACACACAGAGGAAAAGCAAATACATTCAAGGCCATTTCACAGTTTTGAGCAAAATATTTATTCACTTTTCTGAAAAAGTATAATATTTGTAAACCACTGCAAAACGCACAGTTTTGTGGACAAAAAAAATTCTGATAAAATTATATGTATAGGTTTATTAAAAAAAAATCTGATTTTTATTATGGTAAAAAAAAAATCATAAATGTATTCCAGTCAAGTGTCCTTACCTAAGTTTTATTTTATACATGTCTTTGTTTCACACTCATTCACTCACTCACTCTCTCACTCATCAGCTCATAATGTACAAAGTCAATCTTCTATGAATAAAACAGTATTTTATATAAAAATGATAAATCTATATTTGAAAAAGAGAATTAAGGGTATCATGAACTTTTACCAGGTTTATTTTTCCATAGAAATGGTTGTAACTACTGATGTAGAACAAAGCAACAGCAGCAGCAGGTTTTTTTCTATTCTAGGTCTATGTTAATGTTAACCATAAACAGCCCACTGTGTTTGTATAGAATTAACCATCAGAATAAACATGTCTAAAGTGGGATTTCCTTCTTCTTCTTCTTCTTCTTCTTCTTCTTGTAGCTGTGTTTAGTTTTTACTGATCTGGGGGGAGGAATCAGATTCACACATGGATTTAGTTTTTAGTTTGTTCTCCTCTTTAAAACATTTCCAGGTGCTGGGGTAAGTTAAGTAAAGATTATGGAAATGTACTTGTTTTCACTTGAAACCTGGTTTGTGTGAATCAGGTGTGAATAAGGTGTGAACATGCTCCTGTGGTTGTGTCTGTAACTGTGAGGGAGGGGAAGGCATTCACTTCCTATGATTTTTTTTTAATTGTTATTTTAAATCTGCTTTAATGAATTCAAATGTTATCAGTTGGCAGAGAATTTAAAGCAAATGTGTTTTTGTTTTGTTTTTTTTTTCCTGTATTTTTGTTATGTTACTCAGAAGTTGTTATAAACTTTTAAAGACTGAAATAAACACAGTGTCCAAATGTGTGGTCTCCTGATGAACTCAGGCCACTCAGAAAGAAGGTTTCGTCAAGAAATTCAAAAATATACTAACAAGTAGCCCAGAGCTGACCGAAACTGTAAATAAGAAATCACTAAACGTTTAATAAAATACAGCAAAATCAGATCTGTATAATTGAAGCAAAATCGTGTGAGTGAGAGACATCAAATCATAGTAGCAGAAAGTTAAGTTTGCAGAATTTAAGAACAAAAAGAATAAGACACTGTCTAGTGTAGTTTTCCTTTCAGCACATTCTCAGCGTAGTGGTTTTTCTAATTCATGCACTGTCCAGCAGAGGGCGGCTTGACTGCACAAACACAGAGGAGACTATTCAGAAAAGTCCAGAAGACTTAATGATTTGTACCCAGGACTGATCGACCTGATAGATCAGCCGTTACTGCGAACCGGTAATACCGCGTCATCGTCGAAGGATCATTCCATTTTCAAAATAAAACATCTTAAAGACTTCATTCTGTCAGTATCTGAGTCTGAATGACCCGTTGTTTTGAAACATTGACGGATTATCTTTGAATGGAAAAAGTAAAGGGATATGACAGGATTTATTTTAATGTAGTAAATTAGTAAAACTGCAACAGCGTTTTTCACTGTGTCCCACTGCGGCCTGGTACCAAATGACCTACGGACCAGCACCGGTTCACAGACCAGGGGTTGGAGACCCCGGAATTAAATGAAAGATGTAATTGAGTCAAAGAGAAGTTAGCATAGGAACATCTAAATGTTAGCTAAAACTTAGCTACAAGTTGGCTGAGAATGTTTAAATTTAGCCAGTGCAACCAGTGCAAAAAACAATTGTGTAAAATACCCAAAAAGGCAGAACATAGTACCTATAACAAGAAATGTAGAAAAAAAAAAGAATAAATAGGTCATAAATCATTACATTTCAGCCTAATATGGAGTGTTCCTAGAAACAGATAGAGGTTAGCCACAACTACTGCATATACTGGTCCAGAAAAAGCAAAACGTTAGCTTGAAAACAAAGTTCAGACCAAGGGTGTCCAAGCAATACAGTTGTCCTTGAAGGGCCGGTTGTAACTGGAAGACTGTATAGATCAGGGGTCCCCAACCCCTGGTCTGCGGACCGGTACCAGTCCATAGGTCATTTGGTATCGGGCCACAGTGAAAAAATGTACTTCGTTTAAACAAAACCCAGTCATATCCATTTCCTTTTTTCATTTCAAGAAAATCAGTCAATATTTTACTCTGATACTAACAGAATATAGTCTAAAGGATGTTTTTATTTTTTGAAAATTGAATTATCCTTCAATGCTAAGCACCTTGGTACCAGTCTGTAGTAACAGGTGGTACTGACTGAGCAGTCCTTGGTTGGAGACCACTGGTTTAGATGTAACTACTCCATAACAGACTAACACATGTTTCTACAATTGATTATTTGTTCAAGCTACAAATACTGTTCATAGCTGTGTAATAGAAAAAAAAATGTCTTACTTTAAGAAACTCTGCTGCATGGACTTTAGTAAAGGCTTTTTAAGCTCCCGCGGCCACACAGAAAAACTTAGTGGGCCGCATTTGGCCCCCGGGCCTTTGACACATGAGTTTTTTTTCTTCAGCCATTTTGTGAAATGTCTTTTTGTCATCTTTATCACTTTGTCTTTTTTAATGTCTACATTTTTAGTTCAGTTAATATAGTGGATTTGTTTTGCTAGCTAACCTTTAGCTTAGATTGACAAAATTCTTATTTATGGCCACCATTCACAGAGCTTTAAAAGTAACAGTCCAAACCTTTGCTGCTTTGTCTGTTACCTTTATCCCTTTTTGTTAACTATTAGCTGTGTGCGGCTAGCCTTTCATGTCAGTGTGGCTAAGGACATGGTTCAACACTGGATGACAGTCTGTCAACAAACACTACACTGACACAGACTTTGACTCTTCATCAAGTGCACCGTCACCATCCAGAAACTCAGATGCAAATACAGCGACTCTGGATTTAAAAGTGTCAAAGGTCATGACCTCGTCATCAGTTCTGCAGTGTGAAAAACAACTTTGTAATAATAAATCCTGTTTGTGAAGTTACATGTCACCTTTTAAATAACACTGTGTCTTTCCACAATGATTTGAGCTGACAGGGACACTGGAGCACTGCTGCCTCCTGTGGTCACTTTGTGTCACTGCATTAAACAGACCTGGATAGTTTGTCACAAAATAACACATCTGAACTTGGTGACGGCACTAATGTGAACGTGGTGTGTTTCTCATAGGACCGCTGTATGGAAACATTAGGAAAGCACCAAAGCACAAACTAAAGTCTATGATATCTTTAGATTTTTCACTGCTTCATGTCACTGTTAGAACATAAAAATGTCAATATTTTTCAAAAAGAGTAGAAAAAAAATTATTAGACTGTTTCTTTTTAGATGAACACATTTTATTGCAATTAGCTCTATCGAAAGCAAAAAATTTGATAAATATAAACACTATACCGAGGCTCAAACGGCCTCCGAGTGCCTGCAGGCCCCGCCCCTTTTTCTCCAACAGGAAAAAAAAAAACAGGAAACAAGGGGGAGGGGCTTCACCCGAGGCTTCGGTCAGAACATGAAAAAGCAACAACTCAGTTTTTTTGCTTATTTACAGAAAGACTTTAATTTTTCCAACAGTTCTAAATCTTGCTGATTTTTTGCAAATTCATTGTTGAAAAGAAAAAAACAAAACAAAAACAACATAAAGTCAGAGATAAACCTCCATCCTCACTTTTCCAAATCATTCTTGTAAAGCTAAGTAACTGCATCAATGTTATAAAATAAAAAATAAAAAAACTATAAGGATGAAAATGAAATCAAGAAAAGGTCAAAGTCACGGTTTTAGAGTAATACGTGTCAGACTGTCAACTGTCAAAGTACACCATCGTTATAGCATTACAGTTAAAGAAATGTAAGGTCAAAGGTCACAACTGACCTGTGATACGGGCAACTGAAAAATTTCAAAAAGGATTTTTGGTCTTTTTGACAACATTAGTACCAGACTCATCGCTGACACTGACATTAGTACAAGACTCATCGATGACACTGACATTAGTACCAGACTCATTGATGACACTGACAATAGTACCGGACTCAGCCATGACACTGACATTAGTACAAGACTCATCGATGACACTGCCATTAGTACCAGACTCATTGATGACACTGACAATAGTACCGGACTCAGCCATGACACTGACATTAGTACCGGACTCATCAATGACACTGACATTAGTACAAGACTCATCGATGACGCTGTCATTAGTACTCATCAAGGACCGATTATGATGACAATAGTACCAGACTCATCAATGACACTGACATTAGTACTCATCAAGGCCAGATTATGATGACAATAGTACCAGACTCATTGATGACACTGACAATAGTACCGGACTCAGCCATGACACTGACATTAGTACAAGACTCATCGATGACACTGCCATTAGTACCAGACTCATCAATGACACTGACATTAGTACTCATCAAGGACAGATTATGATGACAATAGTACCAGACTCATTGATGACACTGACAATAGTACCGGACTCAGCCATGACACTGACATTAGTACTCATCAAGGACAGATTATGATGACAATAGTACCAGAATCATCGATGACATCTGATGCATCGCCGTGTTAACTTTAGTACCAGACAATAAGGAGTAAAGTTCCAGACTGTGAGACACTGAGGAGACTAGACTCTTGTCTACACTGCTGACTTTAGTATCGTCCACGTATTCAACCTGGACAGCGATGACTAGAGTAAACACAGATGAATGAAGGAAATGACTTTGGCAGCAGACAGTCATGTCATCGGTACCATCGATGTGAGACTGAGTTAACCAACAGTGACCGGTGACTTACTGATGCCCCTCAGATGCAATTAACAACCAAACATTTTTAAACTTAAAAAAAAAAAAAAAATAAGGATGCTGTTTCTATGTCTCTCTGATGATGATGTGATTGTTTATATTTGTTGCTTTCACTCCTTCCCCATTATTAACAACAAAAAACATTGTATAGTTAAGTTTTGGAACTGTTGACGCACAAACAAATGCTGTAAAACAGAAGACTGTAAAACAAAGCTGAGGGGCGGGGTTCATATTTGGAGGGTGCGCTTAATAAACAACTGTCAGGGATTTCTTTTAAGTCATCAACAATATCTTGTTTGATTTTTTTTTGCTGCCAAACATAAAAAACTAAACTGGAACTGTTGCCAGACATCACCTGCACAAGAGACATCATGTGTTCTGCACCTGTTCCACACAGTAAATTCCACACATTTGGTTATTGTATTTCTTAAAACATAAAAAAAAAAAAATCTGAATTAGCTGACACCAACTGTTAGCTGCAGAGATGTTAGATTTTCCGCCAAACAAATAAAGGAACAATGGATGGTAGTCACTGGGACATCAATGACATTAGTACCGGGCTATCACCGATGTGAGGCAGCAATGAATTTAGACCCAGACTGTCATAAATCTGAGAAGAGACGACTTTAGTCCCAACTTTCAACTCAACACAGCTCTGTAGATACACAGTAACCACACCTTTGCTTCTCAAGAAGCAGCAGAGGAATCGTGAGATCGCCCCCTACAGACAGTTCATATCCACATATTTCTTTTGAATTAATGTTTGGATGGTCTGGATGAAAAAAATAAATAATGAAATGAAAGCATCAGATTGGTGAATACTGAAGAAGTTGAAGAGGTGAAATTACGAGGACCGCGTTAGAATTCCGTCATTTCTTTGGACACTGTCAATGATGTGCTGACCGAACAGCAGCAGCAGCAGATAACTTAAATGATGGACCAATGACAGCACGGACAGCAGGCCCCACCCACCACTTAGAGTGATCACTGCTGATTCGTGCGGAAGTGCATGTGAGAGGTGCTAACAGGACAAGAATGTCCAGCTCGCTGCTGCACCTGGACCATGGATCAGGTTTCTGGAAAAAAAAATCACTTTACGTCAGTGTTGCTGATGAATGTGTGTGTGTGTGTGTGTGTGTGTGTGTGCGCATGAGCATGTGCGTCATTGGAACTGAAACCAAACACAGAGCAGTGCTGCTAAATAAGGCTGCATATCTCCTGTGTGTGTGTGTGTGTGTGTGTGTATGTTTGGGCCAGAACCATGTGACCATGTCATGTGGCTGATGATGATGTGTATGGTGTGTGTGTGTGTGTTCACATCCACACAAACTACAGTACAAGCTTCACGTGCACAGTAAACCTGCTGCATTAGCATCGTAGTGTTGGTTTGTAATTTGTACTTTTACAGCGTTACAACGTTTGTGTCAATGCTAAATGCTAATGTTTAAATACAGATGAAAGCATTTCTGACCCGCTGCCGCCTCGTGTCATCATCCTGAGCAGCGTGAGGTAAAATCAAAATCGTACAAAAGAGACAGTAACAAAACACTTGGCTCTGGATGGTTCTTTCAACAGTTCTTGTGCAGACAACCCTAAAACCGTCAAAAATCAGTCAAACTAAGTGAAAAAGGCAGGAAAACGCCAGCGAGCTACCTCTGCTACGTTAGCTAAATGTCCAAATGTTTTCCCATTTCCATCATTGTTCAACCAATTTGGGAAAAATGCATATACCGTATATATATTATCACGTTGCTAGCATAAAGAGTGGAACCAGCTGGCACAGCTTTTGTTTAAAGAAAGTGTTTCATTGATGACAAAATGTAGTGAACGAAAACTTCAAGTGAATGATACAGTTGCACACTTTGCTCTGTGCAAAGCTAGCTAATTGTTAGCTGACAGATGCATGCCAATGTATTTCCTTTTGCCTTTTTAAGTACCATATATGTCCAGTTATGGCAAAGCCTCAGAGTCAATGAAAAAATACATAGGATTTGGTTCAATAATATTTGTTCTCGTGTAAAAACTCCAAAAGACGATTAAAAAGCAGCAAAAAGAGGCGTGAAAATGAAACGCAATGGCTACAGCTTCACTACTGAAAAACATTTACATGGTTTGCGCATCGTACATATTTCAACAGTTTGTTGTTAAGCTATGGTCAAGTTTTCGCTGAAACCTTGTTGAAACATTGCAAAGCATTAAAACGGCAACTCACACCTTTTTCCTGCCCTTTTTTTTCTGAACCAAAATGTGGACGACAGAAAAACTGTACGAGCTGAGACATAAATAAATAACACACAACTTAAGAATACTAGTTGAATTCATACACCCAGACATGATGGTGAAATGAATGCAGCCGCCAGCTCTTGTCCACAATAATGACTGTTCGGTACCGATTTAAGGAGGGGATAAAAAGTAAAAATAAAATTTAAAAAAAATAACAAAGGATAAAAAATAGTATTTAACATAAAATTTCAGTACCATTTATGTATTAACTCAGCATTTCAGTGTCCCTTTTTAAGAAAAACAGAAATGATAATACCGTATGGAGGAACAGGACCATGAGTGGTTCTGTTAATGCCCCTGCAGTTACTGAACACCAGAGGGCAGAGCAGCACACAATTTAAAAAAAAGGACTATATATACAGTAATATGTATATATATGTGTATATAAATGTGATGAAATACAGTTAACAAAAATTTAAAAAAATAATAACAGCAAACAAATTTTGTGTGGTTTCATTCTGAAGGGAGCGGCTCGGCTGCTCAGTCAGGTCTGTGTGTAGAAGGCTCCAATGCAGAGTCATGTGACCCTAGCAGAGACTAAGATGAAAATTTGGGGGAGGAAAGGAGTGGAATAGCCCTCTGATGTCACCATTCAGTCTGAAAGAAAAAAAAAAGAAACAGAGATTTTTGGTTAGTTTATAAAACTGATGAGTCGCCCAGACCAGAGTTCATAGACAAAACAGTGATTTTAGCTCGGAGATACACAACGGTTGTTCAGCCACTGATTCCATCATCAACGTGTTCACGTGGGTCATTTCTGACTTCACCATGTGAAGTTCATTGTTCAGATCGACCTCGGTGACCCGACCACAGGAGTCAGACGTGGAACATCAGACTGTGTTTTGCCATCTCTCATTGTTGGCTCAGACAAAGCCCTGCTCTCAGTGGACTCACCAGGTTGGACATCAGCCATGTTTGGGCTTATTCAGGGCCCTGGGCTGCACTACAGCAGCCTACCTGAAAATCAACACTACCACTGGAAACCCAAACACACACATACACACACAAGTGTAGAGTAAGAGTGTGTGTCCAAAGTTCAGCGGCCGCTCACTCATTTACCAAACAAACAGTTAAATGTGAGCGGCTGTTGATTCTATGGACTCGATGGACACTGGTTTGGAAGACATCAGCTGGGTGTATTCGTCCAGGTGAAAAGGTGGACAGACCTGGAGTGGCCTGGAGTAACTTCAGACACACACACTAAATCAGATTATAAAAACTGTTTTTGTCAGACACCCACATCTGTCTAAAACAAAGTCTCTCTCTCTCTCTCTCTCTCTCGCAGTACAAAGTAGCACAAAGCATTTACTGCGTTTGACTAAGTACTAGTATTTTAATTTGTTAAAACCCTCGAGTGAGTGAATGGAGCGAAGCAGTGAGCGAGGGACGAGAGAGAGAGAGAGAGAGAGAGAGAGAGAGAGAGAGAGAATGTATATTATCTGTAAGATTTCAACATTTTTATGGTAAAAAAAAATCACTGAATTTATGTTTTTCCTGTTCAAATACATGGGAGAGTGTGGCGAGCTACGGCAGCGACTTGTGATGTCACTGCTACACACACACTGTGTTTGACATGTTTAGTCTTTCTGATCGGCCATGACTGCCCAAAGAAAATTCACATTTGAGTGTTTGTGTACAGCAAAGTTTAATTTTAATCAAGGAGCATTTTTAATTCATATATCTGACAGTTCTTCTGTTCAATTTGTTTCATACGTTTTGATACAGTGCACATTGACCTGTGGTATTAATGCTGCCTTTGTGACATTTGGCATGTGCCTTAAACTTCAGTTTTTATCTCTGGGAAAAAAAATTAATCTAATATGACTTAATGCTTTGAGGAAACCTTAATTACATCACAGAAAAAAATAAATATATATAGCGTATCATCATTCAATAAAAAAACCAGATATGACTTCTAGTCCATACTGCCCAGCCTTAAGAGAACCTGAAGAAGAAACAGAGCAGAACCAGATGATCCGGATCTGGAGGAAAACCAAAAAGAATCCAAAGATGATAATTATTAGCCATAAAAAATATAAATATTAGCAGCACCATCACCACCACCAGAGGGAGCAGCTGATTCCTCTCTGATAATGTGTTTCCATTCAGCACCACTGTCTGCTGTGACATGCTGCCCTCACAATTACACTTCAAAGACTACAGCAATGAGTCACACACACACACACACACTCACACTCACACACAGACACACAGACACACACACACAGTGTTGAGTGGATACTAAGGACAAAGTCACAACATTCTCTCCTGCTCTGATCCTCATCTACATCTCAACCTGCTATGATGGTTTGCTAATCCAGGAACAATATGTTTTCACTAACGAGGCCCGTGATTGGCCAGTGTTTTCTGAAATAGAAATGTTTCACCAAATCTCTGCCAGGTTTCCCCACAGCCTGTGAACAGCTATGGATGTTCCCTTTTAGACTTCTGACAAACTGAAGTTTGACAATGGATTTATCTTAGCTCCCAGAACAGTCCATAGTCAGTGACTGTAGTTACAGTGAACAGGAGCTGTATGTAGTTTGTGTTTTCACATCACACTGCTGCTCCTGTCAACAGTGATCTACACTTTTTTTTCCATGTACAAAAGTGTGTGTGGAGATAGTAGAAACAAAGAAAAGAGGAGTTTACCACAAACACCCACACATCACAGTGCCCTGCCTGCACAACTACATGCTGACACAAAGAAAACAGGCGCACATGCTCAGACAGGCTCACATACAGACGCCACCGCCACAAAGACAGCAACGCCACCGCCTTTTTTCTCTCCCTGTTTCCTTCTGACTGACTGACTGGGTCTACACATGACCTCAGATAAACTTGCATTCATTTAAGCAATCATCAGTCACTCACACACACGCACGCACGCACACTCACACACACAGACCTCAGCATGAACCACAGACTGATGCCACTTCCTGTAACAGCAGAGACGTCAGGTCCCTGGACAGACATCTTCAAAGACAAGGGAAACGCAGCCTTATGGAGATCACAGAGACTCATCTGAAATAGACTCCGCTCACCCTGCTTCAAATTGATGCAACACAGACTAATAATAGCAAACAGCAGCTCTAGGTTATTTTAGATCTGGAGTGAAGAAGAACACAAAAAAACAAAAAAAATCTTTCATGATGATATTGTTTTTCTCACAAAGGAAGACCAAAAAACTTTATCCATCCAAGTTACCATTTACTAAAACTGCTTTACAAGAGAATCCAAAATCTCAACACTGTATTTCTTTCTTATCTCGTTGTCAAAAACAAGTGTGTAAACCACTCACTCACTCAGACCAAAGTTCATGGAGGAAACCAGTGATTTTTGCTGACAGGGAGACAGTGGTCACCACTAACTGTACATGAGTAAATGTGTGTAACAATTATTACTTTCCATGTTTTTTTCATTATCAAACTGGACCACAGGTGGCAGCAGTGGACCCCCCCATCCTTGACCAGTAATACCAGATTTTTGAAAATGCAACATTTAAGCACAACTGAGAACACTTGTTTTTTTATGACTCACCCTTTGTTGTGGTGGTGACTCCATCTGATTTGCTGAAGTCTATACTGGCGTAAGCACCGTTCTCTGGCAGAGGTACTGCCCCCACCACCGATGTCGCCACTGAACTCCCACTGTTGCTGCCCGCTCCCACGTCACTCCCATCGTCACTCAGCTCCAAGGCGATGTAGTTGAGGCCGTTCTGGTAACCCACAGACATGTTCCGGCACATTCTACCTGCTGAGGTTGAAGTTCCAGATACAGTACCTAGTTCCATGGTTCTGGTTGGTGCACGGAGAGCCAAGGACTCTCCAAGACCCTCCACAGACATCCACACACTGTCAAAAGAGGCTGAACTGGTCCACCTGGAAGTGTGACCTTCTGGTAGGTAAGATCCATTAGAGGCTGCTGGGTTTATCAAGGGATGGTTGACAGAGGATGAGGTCCCTCCTCCACCACCTGAGGGAGTGGAGTTAGAGGAGGACGTGGAGGAAAAAGTCTCTGAGCTGTGTCTCCTTCTGCCCTGTGGATCGGCTCGAACAACCTTGGGCTCCACCTGCTGTGTTGGGGTCCTGCTTGGGCTTGAGGGAGGGAGCGGAGGTGAACTGGATGATGGGGAGGGTGAAGAAGAGTGTCCGTAATGCCTTTCTATCACACAGAGGTGCTGCAGCATTGCTGTGGGACTCGTTTGCGTCCTCTCTGTGCTGCTAAGGTTAAATGTCATGTCTGTGTAGTCGTCCCCCATCGATTTCCAGTGACCTGTGGCGGGGACTCCTGGAGAAGTTCCTGAATTCGTAGCCAGTGGTCTGATATAGCTGGGTGGGTTCCAGGGGGCAACAAGACTGGGCCGAGGGGACTGGTTTTTACTTGAATATTCAACACCATGCTGCTGATCAGTCTCCACCTCTACACTCATGTAGTCCTGGTGGCTTTGAGGCTGTGGAGCAGAGTGTTGATGGTCCACACCTGCCATCAATGCTGCATCTGCATCTTGGGAAGAGAGAGGATAGGGCGGTGGCTGCTGTTGGTGGGGGAAGTGTTCACCAAACTCAATGTTGATGTATTCTCCAGGACTAGGAGGCCTCTCAGAGGAGCTGGTGAGGGCAGTAACTGGTGTTGAGGTTCCCGTGGACGCCATAGAAGGCTCGGTGAGTCTCAAAGGACCATGGAAACTCCTTCTTCCTAAGGGAAGGCGGTTAGGTCTCACTACACGTCTGTCCACCATCGCAGCTGTGGTGTGATGAGCGCCATAAGGTGGTGGTGGATGAGAGGGAGTGGAGGTGTTGCTCCCTCCTCCCCTCCTTCTTTCTGGTGTTGATCCTGGAGCTATGGCAACTGCAGAGAAGACAGGCTTGGCAGGAGAACTCATCGGAACGTACTCTCCATACTCCTTGTCATCCCTCTCTCTGGTGGGTGTTTTGTAGGACCGCGGCAGGGAGAAATAAGGACTATAAGACTTTGGTGTGCTCTCACCACTGGCTTCATTTGAGAGTTTCCGCCCCCTGCTGCTGCTGTATGACATGTCCATATATTCTCCATTCTCTGGCCTTTCTGCGATACTGTCTCTGTGTGATACGGTCGCTACTGCCAGACCAGAGCTGCTGTGTGGACCAGGGGACACCTGAACCGGAGAAGGAGAGCCCCCGCTGCCACCTGGTAGCATCATCATGTAACCTTGGGCATCCGTGGCGGAGTTAACGTGAGCCGCACGAGGTGCCAACAGCGGGCTGTGGAACTGAGGGGAGTGAGACACTTGGTGGACATAGTGGCTAGGCTGCATAGGCATGTAGTCAGGAGGGGTGTCCCGTGGTGACGCTGCAACACCACACATCATTGGCATGTATCCACTGTCTTCCTGTGCAGAAGAGGAGGAAGAAAGAGGAGGAGGAGCGGGACGCTCGATTCCACTGCTCACGACACCACCACTGTCTGATCTATGGGATGTGGAGGGCCGACTCTGCTGGCTATGCTCAGAGCAGGAGCTGTAGTCAGAGCGGAGGGAGGAGGAAGAAGAGGATGGCCCGCCACGGAGCAGCCCGCTGCTGAATGGCAAGACCACATCTGATTCTTCATCCAAAGAAAAATTGGTCTGCGTCATTTTCTGATAAACTGCCACTCCTGACCCACCAGTGGCACCACCACTTCTGGAGAAGGAGTGTGTCCTCCTCCTCAGCGACGATGTAGAGAATCGGTCGTCTTCAGTTATCGATGAGCCGTCATCTCGTGGCGTATCACCGCCACTGGTGTTTCCAGAACCGCCGCTAATGCCAAACACCTCTCGGTTCCAGCCCATAGCCATGTAGTCGTTAAGACAATTCTCCTCTCTAATTGGAGGAGTGTTTCCCAGGGAGTCTGGTGTATTACTACGCACACGAAAGTACCTGAAGTCCCCAGGGCTGGAACCATACTCATCTGAGGAGTTGAAGCCGCCGTCTGATGGAGAACCGCATATAGAGGCGCTTGACGGTCGTGTTAAGGTGTCAGAGACAGAGCCGTGACCACTACTGGAGGAGACGCTTACGGGACTTGTGGTGGAGGGGAAGTGGGAGACTGGGAGAGAAGCAGAACGGGCGTGGTAGGTGGTCGATGTCCCAGGGATGGTTCTCATATAGCGACCACCACCTGTGCTTGTACCGACATTTCCTGTGGCGACACCGCTGCCGCTACCTTCTTGGCGACTGTGATGTGCACGCGTTGAGTTCAGGTGAACCAGACTTCCTGTGGTAGAGCGGAACGGGCGGTTCATTGTTCCCTCACCTTCACTAGATGTACGGAAGCGATAACCACTGGCGCCAGAGCTTTTGCTTGATGGCGGTGTCCCAACGATGGACTCTGTTCTTGACCTCCTCTGAAGCCCTGTTTGGCTCGGTGGCAGGTTGCCTAGGTGGCGCCGAGTTGTAATAAATGGCATTGGATTGGAGCCTGAAGACTGGCTCTTACTCCTTGGCCGGAACTCCGCAAAAGCCTTTAAGGCTTTCATCGTCTCCAAGATTGTTTCATGCATGTTTTGAGCCACAACAGAATCATCCACCTGCATCCAGATTTCACCAGGCCCAATGGAGGCAGAGCGGCCAACCTCAATGAAGAAGAAACTCTCAGAGTGTCCACAGCGCCTGATGTTCATCAGCTGGAGGTTAAGCCTAATGTTCATCAGCTGGAGGTTAACACACGGTGTTTCAGAGTTCAACTTGACCAGGTGAATGGTTTTGGTGGACAGACAAAGTCGGTAAACACCTGTGAGGTTTTTGGTTTGGCCCAGTCCTTTGGGCTTCACGTTCACCTGCCACACTTCTTTGAAAACAGTACCAGGCGTCACTGTACCATATCCATCATCCAGATCATCTGAGTCTAGGTGTCCCCTCTTACCTTCACTCATCAGCTCACTGACTGCTACATACCAGTCCTCCTGTTCCTGCTCGTTTTCAGCCACAATGGCAAAGTACTCGTCCTTGGTGTATAGAGCGATGAGGTGTTTGTTTTTTGAATCCGCCCTTTTGTTCACAGTGAAGCACTGGTAAAGGTAAATCACTCTCTTCGGTGGAGAAGGAGCTGCTGCTGCGGCGGCGGCGGCAGCCGCGCTGGCAGTAGCAGTTGCAGCGGCGGCGGCGGAGCGCAGGCTGTTCCTGAACTTCTTCTCGCTGTCATAATACTCCAGGCGGCTCGGGCCGAGGTGGCTAGCGGCCCGAAGCACGAAAAAGCGTTTATGTCCATGTTTCTGCTTCCTCAGGTAGCCACATTTGCGGATGTCGTCTGCCCCGTCAGAGCTGTTGTTGTTCGCAGCGGCAGAGGCAGCGTAGACATGGCCGCCGCTGGAAGAGCCGTCCTCCGCTGTGCTGGATAATCTTCTACCCGGAGTGTCTGCTACGTTCTCCGCGCCAATGTGCTGCTGAAAGGGATGGTGGAGGTGATGGTTGGAAGTTGGTAAATGTTGATGTAGTCGGGAGCCTCCTCCTCCTCCCCCTCCGCCGCCGCCGCCGCTGATATTAATTACGGGGGAAGTAGGGGCTTCCCCGGCCGAGCCGTCGTCTCCGCTGGCGGCCACGGGTTTGTCCCTCTGCTGCGGCTCCACCATCAACATAGCTACCTTT